TGCGCCACCTCGAATCGCTTGGCCTCGAGGGCCATGTGGAGCGGGCTCTTCCGGCCGAGTGAACCTTCATCGTCGCCGCCGTTGGACGCGGCCCCGCTCGGCTGCTGTGGGCCTTCCGGGTGAGGCAGCGTGATAGCGTTGAGGTCGGCCCCGTGGGTTTCTGCCAGCAGCTTTACGGCATCGAGGTGCCCATGGCGGGCGGCGACGTGGAGGGCAGTGCGGCCGAACTCGTCGCGGTCGTTCACCTGCACCACGAGCACGCCGCCCGTGCCGGCGCGCATGGCCAGCAGCCGCGTGAGCTCGGCGGTCAGGCCCTGCTCGGCCGCGGATAGGAGCGCGAACGTAGAGGGGTTAAAGCGGCCGCCGCCCCCGGCCCTTGGCGTGCCCGAAGCGGATGAGGCCAGCGCCCCGGCCTCCAAATTCCCTCCAGCGCCCTGCGAACCATCGCGCAGGTTGCGTGTGCTCGGCGTCTTCTTGGCAAATCCAAACATGCTGCCCCAAAACCACAGCAGCCTCTTGTTGATGTTCGGAATTATGATCCATGTGGATTATTATATTTCGTGCATACTTGAGATTTTCGTCTGAAAATGGAATTTTCGCGTTTTTACCACTTCTTTACCACTTCAGGCTCACCTCGCCATCTTGATTGCAATTCGGAACGAGAGATGCAAGCAGACGTACCGCAAGGCATCTGGGCCGTTAATGATGAGAGTAGAGCGGTCCTCGTTGACTTGAAAGCAATAGGCCATTTGACCCCTCACAGCTCTGAGGCAGCAACGGCCATCCTTTCGAGCTTCCTGGCTACGGTGAAGTTCTCCGACTTTATGCGCATCGAGGATCAGCTCGAAGTTTCGATCGTTGGGAGCATGGTGCCGGCCTCTGGATCGACTCCTGCAGAGGCTATGACCTGTGCGCAAGTGGCCGGCTGTGGGGGCTTTGTCTCCATTTCGGTGACGCGCAAAGGCTCCCCACACCCCCTGATCAAGACTCTGGCACGCAAGGGTACCTTTTGCCCATCTTTGCCATGCCTTGCCTTGCCCGGTGATGGTGCACCTTTACCATGGCTGCGCAGGCTTTTTGCACGATCTGGTGTGTGGAAGGAATCAGAACAGCCTCGCCAACACCACCCTCAAGGCCGACAACACCACCCTCAAGGCCGACAACGCCGCCCTCAAGACCAGGGTGGATGCCATCGAGGCCGACAACACCACCCTCAAGGCCGACAACACCGCCCTCAAGACCAGGGTGGATGCCATCAAGGCCGACAACACCACCCTCAAGGCTGACATTGCCACCCTCAAGACTGCAATGGCCTCACTTGCTGCTGTATTGAACAAGTGGGAATAAATTCCATCCACAAAATGACTGTGCATGACTGAAGGTTTACATGAGGGAACACAAAATGGTGTTTTTTCAGCCATGCACTGTACAAATGGTGGAGAAGAAAGAGTTCTTTTTGAGAATCACTACCACAATTGTGTCCTTCAAAAGAGGCTCAACATCCACTGGTGGAACTTTGGCCATGGGTGCTGGGCTGACCATGGCACTGAGGGAACTGTCCCAATGGGGTCTGTTCTGGCATGAGGCTTCACCTTCTGTCCTAACACTGGAGTCCCACTGGCCACACTCCAAGAGATCTTCAGACACCTGTAAAATAAAAACTCCTCCTTTCTTCTATATACACTTCCTAGACATCATATTGTTTATTACATGATACTCACACAGGCCTCTACACCATCTTCATCAGTTGAGCAAACAAGTCCTATACCTTCAATCCAGAGTCACTGCTGGTCCAGGACATCACCAACTACAAGAAGCCCTCCCTCATCAAGAGGTGGAACCTGAAGTGGGTCACATTACTCCTCAAGTGCATCAACTGAGTACACATTTTGTTCATCTGACTTGGTGGCACATGCTCTTCTCACCTGCTTCCCAACCAACAATAGGTTATGTCTTCTATCAGCTTGTCCTTACTGCCTACACCTCCAGCACCAAAGCTCAAAGTGTCCTTGACTACCTCCACTTCATGCCTGCTTCCATCTCAACTTCAGCTACCACATCAACATCAGATTCAGATCCAAATCTGCCCTAAATCAAGAATGTCAATTCTCACAATTTTATCACAACAAAATTGCCATGGTCATTTGTGACCTCTCATTTCAAATGACCACAAGTTCTTGACTGATGGCCCAGTTACAGCATTTTCTCTCTCATAATGATGGTATTTTAATCTGCCATTTCTCAACATGCTCCCAATTTTGTCTTGTTGTTTTTGAATTAAAACCATTTTTGTGTTGTCCAAACCATTTTTATGAGGTTAAACTCACTTTTCAAAATGACTGGACCTCTCATTTCAAATGACTGCACTTAAGGTTCACAACACCTTCTTGCCCAAAACCTCACCACCCTCACCCAATCCCTTGGACCAGATGGCCCCTGAGGCGATGTGGTGACTTCAACATGGGAAACAAAGAAAAAAAAAGATAAATAAATTGAAAATGTTCTGTAACTCCAGGCACTGTTCGACATGTAAAATTTTGTGGGAAGCTGAAACCACACTGAAACGTTTGAGAGGGTACGAAACTTGAAAAAATGACTATGTTCAGTTTTTTCCGGCTTTTGGAACGCTTCCAAAATTTCGGAAACAGCGCACCATTTTCATTCCAATTCGCGGCGTGGTGGCCGGTTATTGTGTGGTGCGGTCGCTCACCCAACCGTTCGTAACGGACAAGCCCTTTTGGCGCGAAACATCGTGCGTAAAAAAAACACCTTGCGCAACCACAACCTGCTGTTCGCTACCCAACCTCCAAGGCTGCCTCTCCCGCACTAAACCTGCTTACTCTCGAATCGAGTCGATTTGAAGATCGCGCAGCAGCTTGAAGGTAATTATTCGAACACCTACCAATCAAAGATGTTGAGCAGAGCAGCCAAGGTTCGCTTCCGCGACGAGAACCAGACCACCGCGGAGGAGGCC